TTTGAACTTTGAAAGACAAATATGTAGCTCAGCTGCGTCAAAAGATGGGGAAATTTTGAGAAGAAAAAAATCCGCCATCTGGCAACACTGGCACTCCGATGTCATGGGGATCAGGACAGCGTGTAACACGATCGAGCTTATCACGATATAATCGTACAGGTATTCGCATACGCGCCACTGAACTCGAAATGCCCCCAACCCCCCTCTGTTTTCTGTCGCGTGTCGTGTCGTTCACGTTAATAAAATAATTACTCCCCTTCGGTAATTTATAAAGCGTGTGCACATAGGTGAAACAGGCATGAGGGAAGTGGTGTTGGGGGGAGGGGGGGGGGGTTGAACGTTCCAGTATGCACCGACGGGTAATTTTGACTCGGTTCGATTGTCGTGGAAATCCCGGAAGCGAGTTTGGAGCGTCGAAAAAAATTCAACGAGCTATCAGTCGCACTGGGAGCCAGGGCAACCGTCCAAAAAACATTCTCATTCCAGCCCCCTCAATCCTCTTTCTGTCCTCTGAGAGTACACGTAGAGCAAGGGGGGGATGATCAGGATGGTGAAAATAAGTCGCGGGCGCGCGTCGCGCAATTAAGGAAACGACTGTCGTAAATTCTGTTTTAAAAGTGTTGGGGACTGGGGATGGGAGGGATGCAGGAGACTACGGTCGCTCACAATGAAATTGCTTCCATCAATTTACGGGAAACGAGAGTAGCTGAGACTAATTGAGGAGACGTCGATAGTTTTAAGGAGGTGATGGAAAATTGGGGAATTGTTGGTGTTTATTTCTTGTCAAGAAGTGCAAAGTTCAAAGGGTTGATGATGACGACATCCTCATTTGATTACTAGATGCTTCGCTTTGCTGTTTGCATCGCCTATCGTCTACGAAGCACAAAGTTCTGATTGGGATGACAAGTTGATCAGCTTCATTGCTTTGTTATTTGGGAAGAGCGTTGCGAAAATCTTCAATCGAAGGCCAGGCACTAGCTTGATGTTCGACAAGTCGTTTCGAAAAATGAAACATCTCCCATCGTCTATGAAGCACCAACTTCTCATTATGATGACGACATCCTTATTTGATCATTAGAAGCTTTGCTTTGCTGTTTGCATCTCCTATCGTCTACGAAGCACAAAGTTCTGATTGGGATAACAAGTTGATCAGCTTCATTGCTTTGTTATTTGGGAAGAGCGTTACGAAAATCTGCAATCGAAGGCAATGCACTAGCTTGATGTTCGACAAGTCGTTTCGAAAAATGAAACCTCTCCCATCGTCCTTGAAGCACCAACTTCTGATTAAAATAGCAACATTCATCAACAATGAAGTTGATAAATTTCATTGCTGTCTTTTGGAAAAGCTCATCGAAAAGTGAATCATCGTTCACTGGCCTCCATAACAAAGATACAATCAAAACTCCATTTTCCTCGGAATCAACGCCCTATTTATACCAGATACTCACTGATAACAATCTGACATAAACCACAGTAATTTGACAATTTCCGTAAAACGATACTACCTACTTACAGATGCATCGTAAAATAGAATCCATCTGGATTGTAATGCCCCCGGATACCGAGGATAGTGAATAGCTGAAGATATCCTTTTTGGTTTATCGATGTACCCGAACAGAGAGAATGAGCGTTGTATATATAACAACCGAGTAACTATTGTGCATTACGAGGTCCTCAGAAAGGACAAGAGTGAAGTGGTGGGTAAGAGGAGAATCA